TCAGGTAAACATAGTATCACTATGCCACCAGTTGAACATTGAAAAAGAGTTTTGACAAAAAGTCGTGAAAATGAGCCCACACCTTGTCCACCCACAGGTGGAAACATGATTCAAACGTGGGCAGAGAGGGAGAGAGGACATCGTAAGGCTTGTTAGATTTCTATATACCTCTATACAGATTCCTGGGCACCTGGCTTAAACCCCATAACATGAATTTTGACAAAAATACTGCTCACTCTACAAAATTACAACCATTATCGAAGCACAATCTGCAACACAATGAGGATGGGTTTTCAGCACTTTTTTTTATTATTTGAATTTACTTTCTTTAAATAAATTTACTAAATTTTAACGCCTTACTTCTGTGGATTACGATAATTAATTAGTTTCACCATCCATTACACTTTACATTACATTACATTACATTACATTTCGAACCATCCATTACACCTTTGCTTCAATTCTGTGATGACTCCACATTTTAAATCATTTATTATCTTGCATTATTTTTGCAGAAATAATAATTTCACAATGATTCAGTTTTTATAAAATAAAAAAACTTCTATGATTCTAAAGATTTCATAGCATTTATTTTGTTATACAGTTACTGATAACACAAAATCTCCCACTTTTCAATACGAATCTGTGTTTTTTAAGTCTTCACTTATGATTTCCAACTTTTTTTTACATCTTTTTTTTTTAAAGACCTGTTTTTAAAATGAGATAAACATAAAAAAAAGCTCTGAAGAGAGAGGACAAGCTGGTAGCCAGGTACTGGTGGGCCGAGGTCACTTCGTTGACCCTCATTTGAATCATCCCTCTCTCAAATCCTGAAACATCTTTGCTTGAGGATGGAGTGTTTGAGCACTCGAGAGGAAACGTGTTCAGACATGGGCTACTTTAGAGAGAGTGAACATGGAGATGCTGTTGGTAGGTGCAGAGCAATGGAGGACGACTGTTACCTGAAGCAAAGCATCTGCACCGTCTATGCTCACCACAGTCGACATGTTTACCTTCATGCATGAACTGCCCAGCCTCGGGGAGTCGCTACTTTTTTATTTATTCATACATTTATTTGTTGATTTTAAAGTGGTCGGTCAGATGTAAGGAAGAAAGGACACAAAGAATAGAGGTGAAGGGAAATGAAAAAAAATATAAAACATTTTTTGGGCAGTTTTCTTCTCATTAAATGGCTTCAGGTTCGGTATACCATTTTTATTTTTTATTTTTTAGTGACATTGCTAACTTTTGTCAGCATCATTTTTGTTGTTCATGTTTTTCTTTCCCCTAATTTTTCAGCAGAAAATTTAAATATTTAACCATATTTTTTGTTTCACATATTTATTTTTTGGATAATTATGTGGATGGACATTTCATTAAGTCCTTTTATAATTTCACTATGATATGATATCAGCTGATCAAAGGTTTTATGTAATAAATATCAGACCTTTAGCACTTCTCATGCACATCAGTTACAGAACATTAACACAGCTGGTCATCCATGGAAAGAATTTACATTTTGGACCAATTTTTTTATGTGGAAATTGATTTCTCCTTTTCACAGTCCTACCTAGAAGAAGGCGTTAACTTTCAGAGCCCTAGATGTTAATAAGTAAACATTCAATATTATAACCCATAATGAAATACATTTTTACATGTTAGGTTAAGTTTGTTTTTGCGTTGCTTTCAAAAATAATTTTACAAAGTAAATGTACCGTGACAGTTTGAAGCGATTGTGTTTTTGATCTTTTACGTAGCCTATTTGTTTAAATACACCACTTTTTTTTTAATTTATAGCCATGCATACTTCTTAAGCGTACCTTGGAGACAACACACATATGTAGTAGATTAGCAGTAAATGGACCTCAGCATCCAGACTCCCACGTAGGCGTTACACAAGAGTTTTAATGCCGTTTTTGAATATTCATTTAACCTGTGACCGTCATAACAGGATCCCTGTTCAAGTTGAATTGTTGATGATGGGATCAAACGGCAAGTGTAACTAAGAGGTCGTTACTGATTAATGCAAAGAGATTTTTAGTGGGTGTTGTTTATGACGGCGGCCATCCCGTTCTTTACATGTCAGTTCTAGCATAATGGCTGATACTGGTGAAATTTGTCACCAAATAATAGCTAACAAACATAACCGACTCAGTCAAGGTCCACTAATGAACTCATTATTACACATAACACAGCAAAAGATGAAACAACAGACCGTTAATAGATAATTTGATATTAACATTGTGATCAAATCAGAATTTATGCAGGAGGTTGATTTATTACTGTAATGTGTTTCCCAACGACTAACAGTCGATGCAGTGTCTTAGAATCAAGACAGAATACATTCATAATGTTGCCTCCTTCTAATGCCTCCCTTCTCCAGTTGTTCCTCACATTGTTCCTCCAGTTGTTCCTCACATTATGAGAACCAGATAGTAACACAAAGTAGATTCTATGTTGGTACAGTTGGTACTAACTGTCCACTGGTTGGTGCCCATGCCAGAAATATAGGGCAAATGAATGAAACAGTTTTTCCTCTGGGTAACACAGTTGTGTTTAACATCTTTCTGTCAGTTAAGTCAGTGACATATGGGGACATGTAGTTCACTGACATGGCATTCACACCTGCTAACAGCTGGTTCTGGTTCTGTGAACCTTTTTAAACAGTTTAATTTTTTTTTCATGTTAATGGTAGAAATTTACCAACTGTATTTGATTTGAGCTTCTTTAAGAGGCTTCTTATATAATATATATTAGTATTAATAATTAGCTTTTGCACACTTGACATCATTGACAACATCATTTAGTTAATTTGGAGTAGTGTTTGAACTGTCCTTAGTTGGTATTGTTGAATCAGTTGTTGAAGAGTTGATTTGCTGTTTTGTAGAGACAGTCAGTAGATTTTGAACATCTGTGAACAACTGTGAACAACAACTAACAGCACTGGTTTTACCATCGAGGATGAGATGAGACGGGGATTAGGCTGTAACAGGAATTATGGTTAGGTCTAAGTGTGGGTTTGATGACAGGGTTAGAATTAAGAAGCTGCAGATCCACCTCACCCTTGGCCTGAGCTCTAGGGAGTGAGAATGAGGAGATTTGTTTACACTTAAACGTTCTTCTTTCAATAGCATTTCATTAAAAAAGAATCGATCAAAGAATCAAAGCAAAGGTTGAGAAATCGCTGCTTGTGATTTTTTTTAAAAAATCGATCAAAGAATCCATTTAATGGCCAATAGTTACATAAAAAGCTAACATTCATTTGATAGATGATTCATTTGGTGGTAAGATGGGTGTCTGAGGCTCTAGATCAGCTGCTCAGGAGTAGAATGAAATGATTGACTAGGAATATACAGAGCCTACTGCTGTTTTTAAAGCATTTATGCTAGGCTAACAAAGGTTGAGAAATCGCTGCTTGTGATTAAAGTTTAAAACGCAATCGTATTAGTAATAATGGCGAGCAGGCAGGTGGGGCCCTATATATATATATATATGTGTGTGTGTGTGTGTGTGTGTGTATAAATATGTTTCCAAAGTGTGTAAGGAGCACCTTGTTAATTCAGCGCAGAACAAAGTCCCACGTCTGACTGAATGATATTGCAACGGGACCCAATCGCTGTTTGCTCGAGTCACAAACTTTACATTAATTAGCAGTTAACAGAAACAAGACACTTGTTTTCTTAATGGAATTCCCAACAGCAGACACATAACGAGACACCGGGCGAGGCTTCATTCAGCCCATATCGATGCGCCTGTTCTTATACGAAAATCAAGATCTAAAAATAAAAAAACTAGCTGAAACTGTGGCAGAGCACGACTGTCACTAGGACTAGGCTATATATAGCGTTAGCTTTCCTTCCTATTGTGATTTTTTTTTTTTACTGTCTGAAACTATTAATCACATCACGTCATTTCTTTTGGCTATTATTTGGCATTTTTGGTACATTTCCTTTCGTACCAAAAATGCATAGAAACGTGATTAATATCGAGGTACCTATACCTATTAATATATATATTTATACACATATATACACATATATGTGTATTGTTTATATATATCAGACATTCCCAATTGATTATCAAAACCTCATCACGCCAGAACTGTTGCTTTTGCCGTACCTTTCTGGTTTCCACATAATTGTTACTTCATCGTTAACAGCTCCTGAGGCTTTGGTGGTTTGCACTTTTCAGTTAAAGTTAACCCTGTCATGTGGCAGTTCAGCTTTTGAAGAAGTTGTGGCTGAAGATGAACCGCTGCATCACATGATCTGTATTTCATAAGTCTCCACGTAGACCT